CCCCCCCCCCCCTCCTCTGAACATCACTCATTGCTTGACCCTCACTTCATCTATAGAGGGAAATTGGTTTTTACTCCATCATAAATCATCAAAAGCGTGTTACTGTGCTGGAACACTGGAACATTTATGTTTTCACCATGTTTGTGTTTCATCATCTTTATATAAAAAGGGCACTATCACTGCGGTGAATGTGTCGTGGTAAAACATGCGTACAACCAGATGGAGTCAACCAAGGGCTGTTTGTGTCTGAAACCGTGAGCATTAATGTACCTCACCACTGGCCCGATAAAGGAACATGTGCTTAAAAGATAACACATAAAGCTTAAAAAATTAACTTTAGTATCCAATTCAGACTAACTTGCATGGAACAGTGTGTGATGATAAGTGATTTTGGAGCACTGTGATATGACGGGTCACTGTATGACAGTAGCATTCTTTGGGTCCTTGACCTCAATAGAAATCTATTCATGGAATTCATCTTCAGATTGTTCTCCAGGCACAGATTAATCAGGAAAAGCCCTATGGAAATAACACTAAAATTATATTACACCCTTGATGTTTTATAGGATCCTGTCGTGATTTAGTTCACTTATCCACTTTATTTTTGACGTTAGGTCGCGTGAGGCCATTTGTAACTTGAATTTGCAAGGTTTCCGCTGTCATTAGTTTCCAGTTAGGCCTATTTTACATATACAAAAACAGTCCGATATGCTGCTTGAGACTGCAAACTGATATTTGTTACCATATTATTTGAACTCATACATGAACACACTGGTTCATAAAGCAAACAGTTTTACCTTTTACTGCACTTTGTTATTCTTTTAGTTATTTACATAGCTGCTAATGAAGTCTGGCAGAAAATAGCAAACTTCCGCATTGTGAAATAAAGTGGATAGACTAGTTCTAATAATGTGACAGAACAAACTGATTTTAGGAACTCCAGGATCATTAGACCATATTGTGCAATATAGACATTTAATTGATAATGAATTTCACGTAATTAAATATAGGCCAGGGGCCTCCAAACTCGGTCCTGGAGGGCCGGTGTCCTGCAGAGTCTAGCTCCAACTTGCCTCAACACACCTGTCTGGAAGTTTTTAGTATGCCCAAGACCTTAATTAGCAGGTTCAGGTGAGATTAATTAGAGTTGGAGTTAAACTCTGCAGGACACCGGCCCTCCAGGAACGAGTTTGGAGACCCCCGATATAGGCTATTAAAATAATGGCAAACATTTGATCATATAAACAAACATTTAACATATGCTTGACTACAAAACAGTATTAGACAGAATCATTGCCCAGGAAAAAAGAAAATCCCATACAGCCAAAAATATATATTTTTATAGCCAAAATACATTTTAAATATTGAACGTATAATGTAAACAGTGAAGCTCTATTAAATATGTTTCTGAAAGTGAAAATATAGGCTACATTTTCTAATCTTACAGTACATTCTTCAAAAGTGACATGTGAATGTATTTTCTTGGAGTGAAATATATGTTATGGAGGCCAAATATATGCTTTTAAAATATATATTTAAATTGTAAAAATATATTTTCAAAAATATACCAAAATGGCCAGAAAAATATATTAATAGAAAATGTATTTACATTATATATATATGAATATGAAATATTAAAATTTATATTTTTTTGCAAAAAAAAAATTTTTTTTCTTACTTTAAAAGAATTCACAACTATCTCTAAGACAGTTTTGAACGATGAGTTTGAAACTAATATACAAAGGCGCTTTAGAGAAAACTAATTTGACTTTTGACTCGAAAGCTCAGGCCAGTGCGTGCATTCTACACAGTGTTGCCAACTTAGCAATTTTGTTGCTAGATTTAGCAACTTTTCAGACTACCCTAGCAACTTTTTCTTCCAAAAGCACCTAGCAACAAATTTAGCTTTTTTTAAATTTTATTTGGCAACATTTAGCAACTTTTGATAAGTGACTCAAACGATAAAAAAGGCACACATTTTTCATCTAAATGACACAAAAAGAGGAAACCAAAGGTGCCTAGCAGTCCACAATTCACATGAATTAAGTTGGCTGCTATTAGCAATTGTTTCATTTAATAATAATAATAGAATAAGTGTTCATTTATGATACACCTTGTTAGTAGCTTGTACTTGAGTTTGTTGATCAGTTAGTGCACGGTAAAAAAAAATAGCTAGAAAAATGAAAAAGGTAGTAATTTTCCAGGACATTTTCCATTATCCATTATAACCCTGTAACCCGAAAACACAATGCGTAATTTAAAATGTAGGTAAAAAAAACGTGTGAATAATAATTACGGAAAATTCCTTCATATTAATAGATTTTGCCCTATTTTTACAGACTTTTCTTAAGAGTGTAGCCTACGGACTACTAATACACTGCTTAAAATTGTTCAGAATGAGTAGTTTTATTAGTTTACTAGCTAATAAAAAATCAACTTAAATTGTAATTGTTAAACAATGTGAAAGTGTTTAATAATTCAATGTTGTATTTAAAATGAGTTATTTATATTTTAATATTATTTTATAAACACATCTAAATTAACATATATAAATGTGTTTATATTTTTTGCTGAGATTTGATGCAGTGACACAATCATTTAGCAACAAATCAGTCTTCCTTTAGCAACTTCCCCTGAAAATGAGTTGGCAACACTGATTCTACATTGCATTCTCGCGCAGATCTCTGTGCAGCCGGTGCTGTCTGTGCTCATGCCCATAACAGAGCAACAATGCCAGACTGGACTCCAGCCCGGCTTAAGTTCTTGGAGGGCAGAAATGCGCTGAAGCTGCTGCGTGGATCCTGCATTCATTAATTCAGTGAAGTCTCGCGGTGTTCACGCAAGCTCTCAGACATCTTGCGTTTGTCAGACCGCTACGAATCTGCTCCGAAGCCCATCCAGCACTGCTCGATCGCCGTCACTCACTTCTTCACATGCGGCGCTGAACGGAGTTTGCGCGCTCGAGACACTCCGGAGAGGATCGCGTGCGGCGTTATTTCCCAATTGTGCGTCATTTCTGCCTTTCTGCGTTTCTTCCACTCAGTCAATATGGCAACACCCGCCGCTGTGAACCCATCGGGTGAGTAGCGAATTTTTCCTTCCCCCTTTAAATACAACGGAGATAGTGTTTAAACGGAAACCGAACGTCGGTTTTTTGACGCAATATTGTGTTTTGGCGATAACAAAAGAAACCGCGACGCTTTAAACGCACGCACGCACGCAAGCCCCCCCTCCCCCCACGCAAGGAACAACAGCGACATTTGGAATTTGAAAACGCTACATTGTATCATCTTGTATATCGCTAACACGACATTCATTCTTTCGTGACTATAGAACGGAAATGTATCACATTTGGCTTTATTCTGCCGCGGATGTGTGCTAATGCAAATTAGATGCTGAATACATTTGCCTCAAGCCAGTACGTGCTTTGATTTCCTTGATACGCGACTGTTGAATCTGATACGTTGCTTATGGGACTGTAATAGTGGTGTAAGGATATTTTGTTATGAGCTTTTGATGCTTCTGTGACAACAGACACACAGCATTTATGATTATGTACAAATAGCAGCATGATAAGTAGCAGGAATGAGACAAAACGGTAAAGTGACAGTGCCAGATGTAAACAAAAGCGCGAGATGGTTGGTGGAAGATTATCACGATCAGTGTTGGCGGTAACGCGTTACAAGTAACAGATTACTTTTTTTCCCAAGTAACTAGTAAAGTAACGCATTACTTTAATTTACAAGAGAATATCTGAGTTACTTTTTCAAATAAGTAACGCAAGTTACTTTCCCCCCCAAATTGATTGATTGGCAGCTCTCCTGTCCCCATGTTTAGAGAAATCAGATGTTACTGTAGCTCTAAAATAAATATGAATATGCATGAATTCATCTCGCTCGCAACTTTGGTTTTGAGACTTTAGTCTTTGCAACTTCAGGGATCTTATCTATGCACAATCAGCTTGTAACACTCCAAAGAGAAAGGGAAAAAAAAAAAAATCGCATCATATGACTCCTTTAAAAAGTAACGCAAAAGTAACATAACGCATTACTTTCCATAAAAAGTAACTAAGTAGCGTAATTAGTTACTTTTTTATGGAGTAACGCAATATTGTAATGCATTACTTTTAAAAGTAACTTTCCCCAACACTGGTCATGAGCTCGTGCAGAGAACTTTTTAATGACAATTTACATGAATGTGTGAAGATTTTAGTCACTGAATAAGAGAAAGGCAGTGGACTTGTTGCTGTTTTAGGTTTTAATGCTGTTCTGCCTCCAGAGTCACGATTATGTGGGCATCTGTGGTCTATTTTAGTCATCACAGAATGTTCTAGTGCTTAGATATTTATCACCTCTGAATAACAACCAAAAAGGACGTAGAAGGTCAAACTTATGAAAATGGAATGTAAATAGTAGTGAAGTCAAAGTCATGCTTACATCAGGCATCAAACAACTATAACTCTGTAAAGCCCAAAATATAAAATAAATTAGTTTAGTTCTGACTATTTTTAAAAATGTCTTATTTTGAAAACAGACTATGTGCATAACTCTATATCTCCCAGTAATATGACTTAGTAAGATGATATTCAAATGCTTCTATTTAATGATCAAAGCTCTGTAGTTTCAGAACATATAATGCAATGCAATACAGTGATGATTGAGAGACGAACATATAAACCTTCCTCAAAAGCCTGATGGATCATATTTCCTTCTCTCGTTTCTAACATGTTCTAAAAAGTAATGTATTGGTAATCAAGTAAACCTAAGTTGCTTGAGTCCAGTAAGTGTTCATCTTGAAACTTTCTAAAAAATATAAAAGTTAATTTTATAAAGATCAGTAAACATTTCACAGCAAAAAGACACTTATCTTATCTCACATCTGATCAATTTTATGCAACAGACTTCACTCAGACTTGGTTAGTGATTGTTCAGAGGAAACATGTCACAGAAACCTACTGCTGCTCAGTTTATTCAGTCACTTACTAAAGTAAATTGCTCCATGACTCCATTGCTTCCACAAACACTATTTCCCCCCCAGCGGCAATTCTTTTCCCAGCACCTCATTGTAAATGCAAATGAGTCGAAATGAATAAAGAATGTGAGCGTTATTAGCACCTGGTTGACATGCCGAGCTGCCAAGCACGCTTTAAAATGCACAAGAGCATTCTGGGGTGGAGTCACATGACTGTAGTTGAACTGAAGTGCACTTTGTTTTAAAGTCAGCTAGCTTTTATTTCACTTGCTTAACAAATCTATAGGCCATCTGTACTTTTCCCGTTATGCCCACAATGCCCGGTTGCAGCGCGGCCGTGATAAGAACGTGTTTCGTGCAAATAGCAGTAGGCGTTTGTGAATGGGGATTACAGGCACAGTTGATTAGCAACAGTTCGGACTGTTTGCCGACCTCTTGTGTTTGTGAAGGAAGCCTTTCTGTTGAAAGGAGTGATGGATAACAGGACTGACCAGAAGTGTAACATTGCTAAGAAGGAATTGTGTGCATATGGTGTCTGCTGCATGAGCTAGCAAATGCTGTAGGATTGACTTTATTTACTTATTTTCATTTCTGCATGGGCTTTGAGTAAAGCTGAGATTTATATATGATGATATATATACTGTGTGACAATATAAGTGTGTGAAATTTGCTTTACTGTTTATACCATGTTCAACTGATATGTTTCACAATTGTGCGTTTATTGACTGTATAATATTTTAAAGTCAGAGCTACCTGTTTTATAACAATAGTTTTTTTTAATAACATTAACATTCACTTTTTTGAGTCTTATGTTTTTGACCCGTGTCTCACAATGTGAAGCTATTTATTTTCTATGAATAATCTGGACTTTTGGTTAAACGCAGCACATATATTTAAACTAAAACTATTCAAATTTTTGGTCATTGAAAAAAACTGAAATAAATCAAATTAGGGCTGGACGATACGGCCAAAATTTATATCATGATATATTTCTTAATTTCGGTCGATACAATATAATTCCGATATCGATATGAACACGATTAAAAAAGCCTAATAAAAACGGCCAAGAACGGCCACAACAGATGTCTGTGCATACAAACTTATGAAAAATTAATTTGCCAACTCTATGAAACCTACTCCTATAAAACTATATAATATTTTAGGAAAAAAATGGCGCAAATAAATAAATGTTCACCTTTTATTGGTATTTAGCCTTCATACAAACAAGAAATGTGAAATCACTGTCAAATAAATCTCAGACTCTCTTTATTAATATTTTTAGGGATGCACGATATATCGGCCACCATATCGGTATCGGCCGATAAATGCTCATTTTTTGTTCGAACTGTCGATTATAATGAACCGCTTCAAAACTTTGATTCAATGACTCTTACTGCAAATATTACGATTAATTACTATGTTTTGTCATATTGGTGCATATAAATGAAGAAATTATTAAATTATTCTTGTCCCCATCTAGTGAAGAAAGATTTAGTATTTCTTACATTAAAATACTAATCTTTTTTAGTTACAACATTTTATGGAAGCACATTTCTGAAACGTAATAAACATAATTGTGGATTTTTAACTTACAATTCTAACTTTATCGGAATTGCAAGTTCATATTTCGCAATTCTGAGTTCACATTAGGGCTGGGCAAAAAAATTTATTTTTCGATTAATAATTTCTTTAAATGACGTCGATTCAATATCGATTCTCAAAAGCTGCGAATTGATCTTTTTCTGTATTTGTTTCAGGACACATTTAAAACAAGATCTGATTAACGTGAATCTTATCATTAGTCTTCTCCACTAGATGTCACCCTTATTTACCTTGCGTGATGTTACAACAGAAAGCCTGTCATTCATTCAGCGCTTATCATGGCCATACATGTGATTCGCAATGCTCAGGTGAAGTGCTATAGTAATACTATAAATCTGCGGAAGAATTTGATATCACGTATAGGCACCATGATTTCCGCAATGAATGAATGAATGGCGGATGGCACGGCACACTGTTTTGTTTACTACACACATACTAAAGCGCGGATAACGCTCGCGGTGTTTTCAGCTTCTGCCGTCTCACTATATGATGATATGAACACGAATGTCATCTCCAGCTGCTCTGAGAGTCACTTCATTAGCATTTTACCGTTTCATTTGAGAAAACTACCATCATATCACATACACAGCAGCTGCAAGTTCTTCACGGCAACCTGTCAAAATAAAAGTTTAGTTTAACGTTAAGAAACTGTCAGAATATATTACTCTTTAGCAGTCTTAAGACTCAATGCTACTACTGCTAATAAATATTAATACATCTTTATTTTTAAAGGAATAATCACATCTGATTTCTTTTTAATTTTAACAGTAAACCTCTGTTGTGCAGCACTTTGTTTGCCAAAAAATAAAAGGGTTTACTTTTCATTTGATTAGGATAAATTAAATTAATGTTTTATGCCTTCATCTGATTACCAGAAAAATTAAGAACATTTTATAGGGCCCTACTATTGTTTAAAAAGGACCCATACAAAAAAAGAATAGGTTTAAAATACAGGCATGTGGTTCTTAATTTCTTTTTATTAATTCACTATTTGTAAACTGATGTTTACTGTTAATTTTTTAGAAATATCAATAGCATTTGTATTAAAACTATATTCACTGAATGTAATAAAAAAATCGAGAATCGAATCGCGAGCTTGCGAATCGAAATTGAATCGAATTGGGATATCTGAATCGATACCCAGCCCTACTTAATACAAAGAGCCGAATTGCCCATTACACAGATTGCCTTTAAAAACATATGAGACGCAGTGAAACGGAATAAACCTCCACAAATTCGTGACGTGTTTTCTAAAAGTTTTAACTGTTTTAACTTTGCATGGCTTTCTATACATCTCTAGTGTGAGACGTGAGAGCAGGAGTCATATTTGTCCGTCTAAAAATGCGCTGAATATGCGTTCTGTGTGAATGGCTTGGTTTCGGTTTTAACCTAATCAAGATTAACTACTATTACTATATTTCTCTAATATTTTGAATGAATAACGCAGCAGCATCTTGTGGGCTAGACTTAAAACATTAAAATGCAACAACGCACTTACATCATCTT